AGTAAATTCCCAAGGTGCTCAAACTTCTGTAGCTTACATCAGAGACACTTGTCCTCAACTGAATGCCTTGATTGCATGATAAATAAAGCATTGTCCTAGGGAATGGACAATGAAACCACTCAAGAGTGCAAATATACAAAGTAATAACCATTATGTGCAATGCATGCATAAAACCACTGACAGTACTTAATTTGAACAAAGACATGAGTAGGTTTGTTGATCTCAATGTATGAGTAGACAGTACATGTAGTTGATTAAAATCAACATTTAATTTGATGACGTCAAAAAGAGCCACGGGACACATGTGACAGGTATATGTTTATCATCATTTGGACATTCTCATCTTCCGTTTGTTCTGAGAACAAATTCCAAGAGAGCCATTTTGATTGATCCATCCGAGGGTATTTAGAAACGTAATCGCTTCTAATTGCACTGCACCTTTATGTGTTTTCGTTGCATTTCCATGGCCAGGACATTCCATAAAATAAGGGGCCACGGTTTCAGTGACACCAGTGTCATAATAGTCCCACTTTACAGAAATATTCTTATCTATAAACTTTATATACGTTAGTCAACAGGATCCCAATCAAAGTCGGGTTAGAATAACTATTTTTATTCTGCGGAATTGAGCCACTTCCAGTATGGAGACTCAAAATAGGACACAGAATACGATGGAATCCTGGGATCAAAGAATATGAAGCTCTCATACTGCATATGCCTCAACGGCGCTTAAACAAATAAGATAATGATTCAACTGATGATGAGGTTATTATGTTCCAACACTTGAAATTTGCTAACAAGGGCATGGACATAACTAGTTTTGGCCAGAAACCAATTTGTTTCGATTTCCAGTACCATTCCTCCATGAGTTCAAAATCATGGACCAATTTTATCACACTCCTATACAAACACCATTGCATCCAAATTATTTAACTACAAAGATTTCCTGAAACGTGTACATAACATTGCATTTGATGGCACATCCAGCAAGTGTGATTGCCAAATCTCCCGCTTTTGCCTTGCAGCTGCTGGACATAACTGGTGATATATCGATACCTGACAATGTTTACCTTCGCCAGTTATTTCAGAGTGGACCCAAATACCACGAACAATGCAAAATGAATTGAAAGTGCAACATAAAATTAATCAATGATGCCCAAGTGTATGCCAAACAGTGGGCAAGACGAGAAAATAAACACAGTAAATGGAATGATTCACAAACTCCGTAAGAAATCCTATGAGTACAAAAGACCATTGTTGTTATGAAATTCGGTTCTTGCAATTGCATGAGAAACTTATTATTGGTCGAAGTGATAAAACATCAGACAACGCTGCACTATCAATTGCAACAACATTGTACGAATATGTACAAGGAAAGTGGTATTGGTTGGATACCTACTGAGCCATCATACAAAGCAAATCCTCAGTCTGAATAGAAGATAGGTGACAATCATTAATTTGTTTACGTACTCGTGGAATTTCTTAAACATGGGACAGTAAATCCATACCAGCTTTATACGGGATTCCTAAGCTTCATAAGAATCCATATATAGAGAGATATATTTTGCAGTGTACAGCAAATATACCCACCAAATCTCTGTCAAACTTACTAACAATATGTCTCACAACAAGCAAGCCTGGAGTCGTAAGGATCAGGGTTAGAATAGGTCATCAGCAACCCATTCTTGCAGTAAAAGGCGACTCTGCTTGCCGTAAGTGGCGACTAACAGGATCGGATGGTCAGGTTTGCTGACTTGGTTGATGCATGTCATCTGTTTAAATATCAACAAATTAACTCACTAACACATTAGGATCTTGAAAACAATGATTTAATCGATGTTACAGAATCTCAGACAAGGACAATCTTTTGACATTTAAAAAAAACCCTTTTGATATTCCACCCATCACACGACTATCATGATAGATTCAAATTCATTTAAAAAAGGAGTTCGTATATATATTTTAATCACAATCTTTAATGGACATGTCAATTTATTAAAACTGAAAGCAGCTCTACTGAGAAATATTCAGATACCCACATTGCTAGATTTCCTGACTGACAATATCTCTTTCAAATTTCCGGATTGAAAGCTTATCAAGGTGTAAGTACCCTATGGGATTGGACCGCCTGCCTGGAGAGCGGAAGGTCCGGGGTTCGATCCCCGGCCGCATCATACCAAAATACGTTAAAAGATCGTACTTGTTGTTACCCTGTCTGGCGCTCGGCATTAAGGGGCTAAAACAAGGACTGGTCGGTTCGGAGTCAGTATACTGTGTCTGAGTGGCGTCTTCATGTTAAACTGCGGCATGGTATCTCAGCGAGCTAGCACTATAAAATCGGCATCAGTCCGGTTCAGTACAAGCAGCCACATACACGTGCATGCACTTTGGCGTGTCGTATCAAATGAACGACCCTACCTGTTTGCTTCCAAAAGATCCAATACTTAAAATACTGGACAAAAGCTCATATTAAACGTATATTAAAGTGTGTAGAAAGGAAGCTGAAGTTGCTGGCACCAATTAGGATGGGAATGATTTTGGTTGATTTAATCGGGGACGAATATTTGATCCGAGCTTAAGAATAGCGGATCCTGACACTAATCAGTGAATTGCAACGTCTTGGACAATAGGCAGCAGTTCTCCAAGATAAATGTTATATATATATGTAATAAATAAGTTTAATGTTTGTCACACGCAAAAACCAATTTGAGTATAGTTTAAAGTTAGTCACGTGCCATGGGGCTCATTAGAATTGTGATATGTATCTCTTAAATCAGCTTTCAAACTTTCAGTCATGTAACTTCAGTATTTTCTGAGTAAACTTGTCCCCATTTCACACAGCATGCACTAAGTTGAAAAGCACGGAGGAAGGGCCATAACTCAATAACTCAATGTAAAATCAATTACGACTCCAATTATCGTACTCATGTCAGATCGTGATCAGCAACAGTAAAATTTCTTTTCTTTAACTTTAATATTTTTAAAGAAAATTTGTCCTCATTGTTTAATGGTTACTACGACGTCTTTGACGGGAAACTCAAACATACAGACAGATTTCCAGCCAAGTGTCACTTGCTGGAGGTGATGAAAGCCTCGCATCTCCAAGGACATTGTTCGAGACACATACTCTCAGTGGACACGATATGGCGTCAAAGTAACACACTGTTCGAACAAACGAGCGAAAGCGAGTTAGATACGTTTTGAAACAACTCGTTGTAAGATTAATGGTATCTGACAGGCACGGGTACAGTAATCTGTTTCTTACACACCCTAAAATCGCACCTTTGTAGCATCGGATCGATGCATTTTGTATATTCTCATGATCACAGTGGCGCATTAATACATAACACCATTGTCTTAAGTGACGTCGTTCAATGTACTGCTTACTACTCATAAATAATGTGACCCTACACAAAAAAGGTTTCCGCCATGTCTGTGGATTATCAAGGCGATGATGATAATGCAAACAAGACAAAAACAAAGAACACGCTTGATGCCGAGTTAAAAGTTTACACCTCAAAGAAATTACCAAATGTGTACAACAATGTTTACTTCCGTATGATTTGGTTGGTTGGTTGGTTTGTTGTTAACGCCGCACTCAGCAATATTCCAGCTATATGACGGCGGTCTGTAAATAATCAAGTCTGGAACAGACAATCCAGTGATTGATATCATGAGCATCGATCAACCAGCCGATCCCGTTAGTCGCCTTTTACGACAAGCATAGTCACCTTTTACGGCAAGCATTGGTTGCTGAAGACCTATTCTACCCCGGAATCTTCACGGGTCTACTTCCGTATGACATCACTACCGGTGACCGACCTTTGCAAATGGCGTGTACACTGACAACAGTACGCGGGATTTCCAGAGGAGGATTTTCGTTGATTGAGGGATCGTATATACATAAATGTGTCACGTAAGTAACCAGAAACATTCTGACAATCTGCGTACTGTTATTTGTTTACCATTTTGTCCTATGTAACAAAGAGAATTAGTCAGAAATGCAGATAACTACCGTCGTCGTTGTGCGTGATTTAGCGTCAGTCGTGGCGTCACACTTGTACGGTTTCTATTGAATTTACCACATCATTGTAATGTTTATATTTGGAATTCAACCATCAGTGCAACGATACTCTTCCCATGAATATTCTCAAACGCGTGATCGAGCCAATGCATGCAACAATAAGACGAAAGTACCTCTAAACATGCAACACAGTGTAAAATATGAATATTTTGCTTTGTTTACATTTCAGCAAGTACAATTTTCCGAGCACAGTGTTCGTATCCACACCTAATTTATTTCGCATGATTTCCTCTAGATAATTTGCATTGGTGACAATGTTGTCATTTGTTTCTAAAATATATGAGGAATTCAGGGATGCATGTATAGCATCTGAGTTTGAAATATACCTGATCGAATAGGCGTCTCATAACCGGCATTTTGTAAACACAATCCAGTAAGGCGGAACGTACACTTCGTTCGTGAATGCGTATGTTCCAAAACATTCTAAACGATTCTAGGCTTATCAGCGACGTTTCAGAATTGTCATTAGTGATTTGATACCCGTGGTCACTTATATTTTCTACTTTAGTTATTCGAGTAAATATCCAATACTTAGATTTCTAAACACACAGTAAAAAACGCCGTGAATTGTGATTTAGCTAGAATGTAACTAATTTTCAGAAGTCACTTTCAGTAATTTTGCTTTGCCTAAAATGACAGCAAATGATAAACAGAAGAGTGAATTCAAAACTGCGAAGTGTATTAGTAATTGTATTCTACTTCGAAGTGAGGGTTGAAGAGGAGGGACCTATGTGTCGCTGTGGCATCCAGGGGGTGCATTGCACTCTAAAAAATGATAACGTTGACATAACAGCAGATAATGGAACTGATAATAATAACAAACACACTCGCAGACGAGGACGAGTTTGTTTATTATTATTATTATTATTATTATCAATTATTACACGGTCCTGTGGTTCAACAAGGCGTAGGTGAACATTCGACTGAAGCACGAGCAACTTATCAGTGACTTACAATCAGAAAAGTAATCCGTCATCATCTGACCTCAGGTCATCACCATGGAGTGGCCAATCACGGGCCTGGAATTCGATCTCAAACATATGTTTGATACCAGTTATCTCAAATGGGTCTCTCACCCATAGGTGTGTAAGAATAGTTATTCTATCTGGCAGGCCAATCGAGAATTCTTCAACTTCTTGGGAGTAGTTATTATGTGTATGATAACAAACATGTATACACCTAATATGATACATAGCATGTGGACTATGCCCCAGAGGTAAAATCATCAGAACATTCCCGACTTATGGGGTAGTTCAAGCATAGTCTCTTCAGCTGAAGAACAAGTTTCATTTCCTCACGACACCTGTCCACAACATCTGAAACGGCCAGCAGTAGACACTGTTATGTGGCAGTAGATATTGTACCTTGTTTCCGACGATTGTCGAGGTTTGGCAGTGACTTGTAATTGAGAGTTACTTTCCTTAGCTGCGGTTGTTTATAGTCCAGACTCCGTCCCAGCGCTTGACACCTTTGTCACCCTCACTGTATAGAGAACTCCGCTGTGTGGATCTTGACGATTTACTTCCGGGACTGACTACTTTATTCGAGCAGTTTCTCGAAAGCTAGCTGTTCCTATATAAGTGGGAAAACGAGGGCGATTCGAGGTCTTCCTTCTTCGACCACATTTGTGACCTGTCTTCTTGCCCAGTGCGGACGTGATACCTATTGAAAAACACCGACTTTTCTACCTGCTTTCAACACTGTTTCCTGGATGCAAGAACCCCTCACAAAATACATTCAACTCTGATCAATTCTGGACATGCGTGAGTGCAATGACTTGTGCAGTAGGGCCTGTTGTTATTGCTGCTGCCACTGTATGGCCTCTTACGATTGTCAACCACATGCTGTGTGTTTCAATGTAATTTGTTAATTGTTCATTGATCTTGTGGGGTTAACCTTCGCGTTTCCATTTCAGATTCAACACGTAACAACGCCTATTTCGGTGACGTGGGAGATAAAGTATGTGATCTTTTATTATGTATACATGTGTCGTATGTTACGTACCTCATAATGGATGATCTGAACCGAAAGTCCCGTAAGCTTTTTTTTTACCGTTTGTTGAAATCCCACATTCAGCAATTCAATCTGGACACCACACGTGTCTGAACCATACTCAGTGTTGAGACCACACAGGTAACAACAATGTTGAAACCACTCTCTTAACAATCAACCCTTAAGATACATCTATATACTGCTTCTGGTTGCGCTGGCATATTATGATCAGTGTTTTCAACATTTCCCCTAAATGACTAAATTAGCCCATAGTAAACGTACACAAAACATCCCATTAGTACTTATAGATATTGATATCACATAAAAATCCGTAGAATGTTCATAAAAGGCGAATGCTTGTCGTGAGGTGCCACTAACGGGATCGGGTGGTCAGGTTCGCTGTCTTAGTTAACACATGTCATCGTACACCCATTGCGTGGATCGAGGCTCATGATATCACTGGGTTGTCTGGACGAGACTCGATTATTTACAGACCGCCGTCATATAGCTCGAATATTGCTGAGTGCGGAGCTAACAAACAAACAAACATCATAATGACGACTGCTTGTGATCGCATTGCAAAACAATGGATAGTTTGCTGTGCGGATATCGGAAGTAAACTGTGGAGTCCGTACAGATGACATTCATGTAAGAGGCTCTAAGGCTAACAGATCTTCTAGAAAGTTGTATGTATGTGTGTGTGAGTACACGTATGCACGCACACGCATGCACACACGCACGCACGCACGCACGCGCGCGTGAACATGCAACCAATTGAATCTATTGTGTTCTGTAAGTCTTCTGTTCTTTGACATCTAAATGCGTCCCATGTCTGGTTGTATTAGCGATGACTCGGTATTTGCCCTCCATACCCGCGAGGATGTGATTGTTCACATGGCAGTGGTAAAGCCATGTCCCAGGATTGTCGGCGGCCATCCTCACTGTGATAAACATTCCCGGATACAATTGACTCACGTCATTTATTCGAGCTGTGTCGCTGTATTCAATCATCACGTTGCCATGGAAATGAATGGAGTGAAGGTCAAAGTCTGAACCTAAAGCCATCATGTACCAGTCGATTCTCTCGCCTTCGTACATCGTTGGACATTTGCCGTTTCCAAATATATACCCATTAATTACTGAAAGATAGAAGAAACGTAATTAGTAATAAAAATAGTCTTTAAATGGACACAATACGAACATTAGCTTAAACATACATATATTTGGTTCCACTGTATAGGCCTTGTCATCCTGGACATTTCTGTATATTATATATTATATACACACACACACACACATATATATATATATATATATATATATATATGTGTGTGTGTGTGTGTGTGTGTGTGTGTGTGTGTGTGTGTGTGTGTGTGTGTGTGTCCTGCGTGTGTTATGATTATATGATTATTGTGGGATATCATGGTTACATTTTGTTTCATAGGTTGCTGAGAAACACCCTACATCAAACAACGTTTTTGGGGGACATATGCAGAATAACGAAAACAACACAAAGCCCCGTTGGTAAAAAACACAGATATTGACACGAAAAGGTCTTGACTTACATGTGTTCTTGGGATAGCATTTCAAAAAAGATAAACATTTATTATCATTCAAAATCTAAAGGATTCAGACCACCGTTTATGTGCCAAAGCCTCCATTACCTTCACGTGGGTTATCTTTTGATTTAATCTTAAATATTTTATCTAGACAGTGAATCAATAATAATCCGGTGGCAGATTCCATCAGTGTTCAGATTCACATGAGAAGACAGTCGACATGTATCAGTTTTCAAAATGCATGATCAGAAAATATTATGATCTAAATATACACCCAACAAAATTACTGACACTGTTTAAAGGTTCACAAACATCAATAAAGATACCGACTGTACAAAACATGTTCAACCTACCATGCATATGATTACTGTTCACAAACCCCTGGTTCGTCGGATCCACCAAGTCTGGTCGCCCGGCAAAGGTATTTATATTTTCCTCTATATACCAGCTGAGATTTTCATCAAACATTGCAAAATACACCGCAAAATCCTTGTCAACGTCATTTCGTTTTCCATCTTTTCCAAGCACTCCAGGCCTGCAAATCACCAGAGGTCCCACCAGTCCCGAGTTTGTGTCTGAAGCCACGTCAACGTCGGAGTAATACATCCGCGTCACACACGGCGCATCACCCTTTCCCGGTCCAACCTCCGCGGTCACCTTCCACTGGTAACTAACTGTTTTCCCAGGGTCTGCAATTGGTTGATCACGTTGGCGTGGATCCCAAGCGGCAGAACGAACCTTGCTATAAGGAAGTCCCTCTGCATGAACTGAATATGGTCTCATGGCTTTGTTTCGGAATACAATTTTCAAAGTGTCCCCGACATGGATACGGATAAGTGGACCTAACATGCCCAAATATTCCTCGTCTGGTGTTCTTGTCTTTGGTTTCCGGAATTTGGCATCAGTATATTCCTTGTACACTGCTTTGATGTATCTTGTTCCTAGTAGAGTGTCGGTATGGTTTGTATACCTTTGACCAGGTCTAAAAGAAAAGGAAATCATTATTCGTAGCATTTTCCTTTTCAGTCATCAAATGAGTCGGATCAATCACTTTCAATTTATTTATTTAGGTATTTTTGTGACTTTGTTTAATCTCGTGACCAGCTTTTGATTCCATTGTCTATCCATTTCATATTTCCAATTGAAAGACAAAAGTGAAATGTTCAAATAATATTCTGAAATATACTCATGCAAGGCTTGTGTGTATCCTTGTCATATTCCAAATGCGGCGCATGAAACCCTTTCCATAATCATACGATTCCGACTATAGCGTATTTAAGGATCACCATAAAATAGTGATGATACCATGTGTTCCCGAAAAAGATAGCGTATTCTGGTACCCGTCACAAACCAATACAAAGGCAAGTCAATTGTTCACCTAAGGAAGCAGGTGAACGTATGTTAACGTTTGTTCCAGGCCAAAGTAGGGAATTGCATCGGACATAGTTGTTGTCACTGATGTAGCAAATTTTGAAAAGTTTTCCATGCGTCTTTTATTCAAAAGACATTACAATGCTTTGCTTAGGCCCAAACATGGCACTCTTTAGTATTCGTAGAAGGCGACTATTCTTGTCGTAAGAAGCCACCAACGGGATCGGCTGGTCAGCCTCGCTGACATTGGTTGATGCATGTCATCGTATCCCAAATGCGTGGATCGATGCTCATGATGTTAATCACTGGACTGTCTGGTCCAGACTCGATTATTTACAGACCGCTGTCATATAGCTGGAATATTGCTGAGTGCGGTTTTAAACAACAAACAAACAAACAAACAAACAAACAGAAAGAGCATGGTCGACTGTATAATCAAAGACTGAAACTGCTAGGCTTTTGCTCGAGATAAAAGGAAAGTTGACGTCATCCGTCTTGTCATACAGTCATGCGCATAGAGTAAAAAACAATTGAGGCTGTTTCTTCACTGGTCCCTTTTTTTCTAGGTCAGGTGGGTAAACAAGTGGAAAGGAATGTGTAAAAGGATACTCAGCTGTACACAGGTTGCTCCGTGCCAGAATCGAGTATTTTCCCAATTAATTGAAGATTGTTGTTTCACGCAACTGTCAGCAAAAATTATTTTGACTGTAAATAATGGGTTGTGATCAAGCAGCAACAGTGGTAACATATGTGCCAAGACCAAATGGATGATGAACGTCTTCAATGCAGTAGTGATTTAGCGAAAGTTTGATGTAGATTCTATATCAAGCAAATGGTGACCTTTGAATCTTTACCACAGCGTTACGCACAATAGTATTAAGTAGTTTATCAAACATACAATATTCACTAAACAGTAGTTACTATTTACGTTACATCTGTCCCTCCAACATCTCAGACCCCAGTGGTTGAGATACAAATTTACTGTTAATGGTGACCTTTGAATCTTTACCACAGCGTTACGCCCAATAGTAATAAGTAACTTCTTGGAGTGGCATTTAGAAGTTGGAGTGATGAAGTAAGACGAGTTCTATGGATGAACAACTTCTTTATTATTGTAATAAAGAAGTTGTTCATCCATAGAACTCGTCTTACCTTAGTAATAAGTAATTTATCAACCATACAATATTTACTATACAGTAGTTACTATTTACGTTACATCTGTCCCTCCAACATCTCAGACCCCAGTGGTGGAGATACAAATGTTACTGTTAATGGTGACCTTTGAATCTTTACCACAGCGTCACGCACAATAGTAATAAGTAGTTTATCAACCATACAATATTTACTATACAGTAGTTACTATTTACGTTACATCTGTCCCTCCAACATCCCAGACCCCAGTGGTGGAGATACAAATGTTACTGGGAACGGTCCACGCCGTGGGTGTGATGAGACGCAATCTTCAAGGTCACAATTTGTGTGAACTGGATTCCCTTTCATTTTGTCATGAATAAGTTGTAATAAATCCCTGACGTCGTTCGTTTCTGAATGAATACTCGCCCGTATATGTAGACAATTCTTTCAAAGTGTGTTGTCAACATAGCAAATATAAAATGCTGGTCTAACACTATAAATGTTATACTTGAATGCAGTTCAACCTACCTCCCTTTGGTGTGGAACGGTTCACCGCTCACTTTATCTTTGTGATCCGGGGCATATTCCCATTCCACCACCTCTGCCTGTATGTAATATACTCTCTCTACGCCGCGAGGTGGCGCAGGAGTGGGGGAGTGGGTAGGTGCACTCTCCTTCACGCTGTACATTGCCTTAAGCCCACCACGAAAGTGAAGATTTGCATGACATTCAATGCCCCAGACTCCTTGATTGTGAAATAAATTGCAATATTAGATGCAAGTAATAACATGACATGAGACTTTTAATGTCTTGGTATCATATGATTATGAGTGGATACAGTCAGTAAATTTTAAAACTCAGTTCTCATATGTTCATAAACAATCAGAGCCTGTTCGGATGACCTGTATCTCTTCGGGATGTCGCTATCAACATATATGTATATTAGGCAAGTGACTTTGTTCGAAATATGCCTCTATTCATCCAACAATATATGGGTACCCATTAGGATGAGATGGTAATTTGACTGTTAAACGTCTTGTTCCTCACAGGCAGATTAGTTTTTATACTCCCCGGGGAGCTGAGGAAGAAAATGAAGTGCATGCTGATCAATTTGCTGGGGTAATAATGTAACGCTTTGGCGTATGGATTTGAAATTGAAATTAGAAATATGTACATTATTTAAATACTGTAAAACTGCGTTAGAAACCTCGTTAGTTCAAAAGTCTATCTCCGGGGACGTGAAGTTCGTATTATAGGGGTTTCACTGTATACAATATATACTCCCAGCATGAATCCGGGGATTTGAATAGACCAAGTGAATGTATTTAGGTGTACCAAGGCGTGATGCTGCTATGATATGTGTGTCTACTCTATTAATAGGCCACACATTTCGTGTGTATTTCATCCAAACTTAAATTAGGTATAACGTAGGTCGGGTTTTTATTTAAGAAAATGTACATCTTCATTGAATAACGCTAATTTGCAATTTGTAAATTAAAGCCTGCATTCAAATGAAGACAATTGTTGCTTCATCTGAGGTTAGCGCAACCAATTGGCATAAATAATGACAGAGGAAAACTGGTACAACTCGAGAAACGCGAGCATAAACGCTAAGGCTCCAAATATGGGTTTGTCGGGAAACCGGAAACATTTATTATATTTTGGCTTTACCAGTATTCTTTGCAACCATTGTCAAAGTCTTCAGTGCTCCGGACACCAATCCTGTGGACACCTTGTGCTGATGATGATTGATATACTCGTTGCCATGGATATAGAGAGTGTGAAGGTCATTCCATCCACCCAAAGCAAACACGTGCCACTTGATACGGTCGCCCTTACACATGTTGAGACCACGGAGATTACCATACATCAGTCCATTGATGCCTAGAAATGATGAAATATAGGTGGCTTTTGCAATAACGAGAAATGAATATTGCTTTGAAGTATATTAAATATTGGCAATGCCACAAACAAGAGGACATAGTCCTGCCTTCTGGCATACATTGTCACACAATCAGCCAGACTACACGTTTTAACTATTTGATTCTCATCAAATAGTCGGTATGTTTGTGACCTATTCTACCACCCGTGAAGACCCGGGGTAGAATAGGTCTTCAGCAACCCATTCTCGTCTTAAAAGGCGACTATGCTTGTCGTAAAAGACGACTAACGGGATCGGGTGGTCAGGCTCGCTGACTTGGTTGATGCATGTCATCGATCCAAAAATGCGTGGATCGATGCTCATGATATCAATCACTGGACTGTCTGGTCCAGACTCGATTATTTACAGACCGCCGTCATATAGCTGGAATATTGCGGCGTTAAACAATGAACCAACCTATTCTGCCCAAAATTCCCAATGAGGACATTTCAATGGCATTCCATTGATGCTTGTAAATGATATTTGATTGAATGTAGCCCGAGGCTGCTATTGAATAATATATCTATAAACCTGCAAGTAACATGTCTTACCTGCACGTATTATGTCAAAACTCACTTCGCATGGTGTTGGATTCAATGAAGTCATCATCAGACTTGTTCCTTTTTGGATCGACTCCAGCCATTTTGATATTTTCTTCCAGATACCAAGAAATGTTTTCATCCATCAATGAATAGAAAAGAAAATATTCCTTGTCGATCCCAACCTAGAAGCACAAAGTACCAGATGCCATCATTGAAACAAGAGCACTATAATAGTATGTCGACCATGGGACGTAGCAGCTCATTATACTCACCAGGAGGTTACGAACTTAAACTGAATTGTGTCCCCTCTGGCCAAGACCTATACGACGGCGGGAGTGTTGCTGAGGGTGCGTGGTAGTTACCATTTCATATATGTCAAACTTAAAAAATAATTTAAATAAACATTCCCCATGATGTGAAAGTTCTCTGAATAAATCAAAATAAATGTGTTCTGCTTGGTATTATAACCTCAAACAAGATATACATGACTTTATGACAACGAAAATAACTTTCATGTGATGTTGTTTGTTTATAGTTAATGGGTAGATACGTGACCATGTAAGGCTTTTCATGTTGCTGAAAGCTCGATCTCAATGGACAGTAAAACTGTTTTAAGCCCCAAACGTTCAACTAACTTCCATTCTTTGGTTTGAGACTAAAATATTATGACCTGCACCTGTCCCATGTCTGTCACTCACTTCCCTGTCATTTTTCCCAATAGCCCCCTTGCGACACACCAACAGAGGCCCGACCAGGCCACTGAAGCCGTCTGTGATCACGTCAACACCGGAACTGTAGAAGCGGCTGATGCATGGTGGGTCTTGATGGTTGGGTCCCATGTCATCTGGCACAGTCCAATGGTATTTCACCATACTGCCCGGTTTCACAAAACTCTTGGATTTATCTGAATGAAACGAATGAGTAAACTGCACCTTATGCCGTAATATTCTCACTGCCTGGCGTTCGTCATTTAGGGGAAAACATGATTAAGCTGTTAAACGGTGGCAATAGTGTACGGCCACAATAGAAATCAAGCCTAGCAGTCTAACAGTCAATAATATGTTTGTTTGTTGTTTAAAGCCACACTATTCCAGCTGTGTGACGCCTGTCTGTAACTATTCGAGTCTGAACCAGTCATTCCAGTGACTGACATCATGAGTATAGATCTACACAATTGGGATACGATGACACGCATCAACCAAGTCAGCGAGTCTGACCGCCCGATCTCGTTAGTCACCTCTTAATCCCGGTTTTTCACGAGTAGTAAGTAATATGATATATACTAATAAACATGCTTAAGAGAGGCAACTGGTGTGATATTTAGAGCATTTTAACTTTTTCTTTAAATATTTATACATATTATATATTCTAAAAACATCGCTGTTTTCAAATGGATACAAACGTATGCCAGCTAAATTTTAAATAGCCCGAACATTCAATGAACTAAGAAAGAGTGCAATATCTACCTGGATTGTTATCATTGTACAACATGCCCTCGTTGTTCTTGTCAAAATGAACGCCCTGTGGATGGACGGAGTAGCCACGTGTAGCCCGATTCAGAAAGTACACGTGTATGACGTCACCCACTTCCGCCCTGATGGGAGGACCAAGGAGAGCAAGGTGCTCTTCATCTTCCTTGCGCGGCTTTTGCACCTTGAACGACTTGTCAGTGTACTCCACAAAGACTGCCTTCTTGTACGTTCCTCCTATAAATTTCCTGTTCCTCATAAAATATGTTTTGGCAAACCTGAAAACGTTAAACCAGCGTTTTGGTTGGCCACCAGAAACAAGACAGATGTATTAATCAATTAATTATATTAATTCACTCGAACATTTGAAATTGTACGACGCTGGTTGTACATTTGAGCCAGAATTCTATGACGGGTAGCGCCCCTTAGATGCCAGATTCTGCACATAATGAGTTCGAATGCTTGCTAAGGACAGTCAGCGTAATGACACTCTTACTTATCCGCGTAGAGATGGGGCACCTCTGGGTCCGCCTATGTCTTAATGGTATTATTGACAGAAGAAATGTGTACATCACAACAAATTGCAAGTACCACGCACCCTTCAACAAGACTCCCTCCGTCGTATAGGTCTTGTCCAGAGGGGCCATAATTCCAAAGTACTTCCTCTGCCGCGATGAAGTACTTCCTTACCCTCCTCGGAGCCTTCGGTTTGGGTTTGAAGTGCAGTCTGTTGCATGTACCAATGTTGATATATGCACTTGTACCAGCTACAAAACGACAGCTAAACAATCAGCAAATGCAGCGGGCATTAAATTGAAATGTATACCAAAGTCAGGTGCTATGGCAATTAAAGAAGTGAGTGAGTTGAATTTAACGACGCCTTTTGCTGTCATATCATTGCTTGGAACTGCAAAAGGTGGCCTGAGATATGGTACGCATGTGACACTTCGAGCTCGGGTGGACGGCGTGACGAGACATGGGTTTAACCACCGGCAACCCCACTGCTCTTTAGCCCTGAGGCTAAATCTAACTGCTTTGTGGTAAGCGGTCATGGCCAAAGTAATATAATATTGCCCAATATGGTCCAAGGTGAACAAAGGTGATTTAAACTGTCAATATCAAATTATCTCAGGCCATGACAATAACGCCATAACGTATTCGCATGTTTCAAACAAACTCCAATGCAAAGGATCCTGATCTCATAATATATATATATATATATATATATATATATATATATATATATATATATATTGGAACTGAGTGCCGAACGTTGATAATTTGGACCGTGTTTACGCAACAAAATACCACCGCTGTTGTAAGGAATATTCGAGTCAACAATAAGCTCAAATTCCAATTTTACTTCTGCTTTGAACTGATGTACATCTCTATTTAGATTTTAAATCTCAAAAACGTATGTATGGGTCCATTTTCAGCCGAACTAAATATCAGCACACACAGTCACAAAGTCGTTTGAGGTGCGGCAATTCGCTATTCAGAGTTGCATTCCTTAGGTGAGTCCGAAACTATGATTGAATTATTTCCACGCCGTGATGTAACTGACATACTGTGCAAGACAGTAAAAAGTTCCATTTGCTTTTGAGTATATAATGGATGAGTAGCATCTTATACATTTTAAAAAATAGCCTCGTCTTGTCATGTCTGGATGAATATATGGGTATAAGTACATAAACTTACCGTAAAGATGCGATGTAACCTGATCATACATGAGCCATCTTCCGACAGATCGAGCTTTCATCGTGACTGTGGCGAACTGGGCCACCTCGATACGCACAGAGTTTTGCCTGTAAACGTACTTATTCAGTTAAGACGTAGGGGTAAACGATTAAGACCTGCACCAGTTCGGGATTTCCAGCTGTATTCAGTTGACACACAATGCTATTACTAGAATTCTGTCCAAAGCTGCATTAACCACAACTAATTTACTCAGTCACGCATTACTTGCAAAAATATCATACCTATGTTGAAACTGATCAAACGTGTGGCCGCTGACAGCGATTGTGTGCAGGTCGGTAGTGTGTCCAAGACCAGCAAAGTGAAGGACGATTGTCTCTCCTTTACACGCGTTTATCCCAGGCAAGTTCCCGTAGATGTAGCCGTTAAATGAGTTCATGGCGTTGGACTTCTGGAATATGAGATCGTTCAGATCTATTGAAGACACATTTCCTGCAAACATGTCGATGTTTTCGTATATGTACCAGCTTCTAAATTCGCTGACCTTGGACACGTAAATGGCGTAATGACGTTGTTTAACGGGTCTGCTGAGTGTACCTGTAACAGCAGTGTAACATCATTAGGAATACGCTGACAATAATGTAAATCTGATTATAAAGGTATTTTCCGTGGTCGTCAACTATAAGAGAATTACAACAACAAATAAGTGAGTGAGTGACATGAGTATGTTTATTTCGCTGCTTTTAGCAATATTCCAGCAATATCACGGCGGGGGACACCAGAAATGTGCTTCACACATAGTACCCGTGTCGGTATTCGTTCCAGGATCTTCGGCTTTACGAGCGAATTCTTCAACCACTAGGCTACCCGACTGCCCCTCAACAACAACGGAAACACCGGCATTGTTGATAGCTTTGTTTACGAACAAACTTACACCTCCCGTATAAATTAATACAAGCCCCAGGGTAAAATAAACGTGGTGGTGGCATTGGGGTTGTATATACCGATCTCTTCCACTGCACTAAAGTAAAAGTAGATAATGACTTGCTGTGACACTGAAATCAAAAGAGCAAACATTTGTAGTTGCTTGTGTGTACCGACCCCGAGGATGCACATGATCATTAAGGGAACAGAGGTTTCTTCAGTGAATTCTGCTCCCTCCTGGAAACACTAAATACAGTTAGCGGAACCCTTCTCATCTGTGGGGATTTCAATTTTCATATGGAGGACACAAAGAATCGAGAAGCAGCAAGATTTATCAGTCTTCTGGATTCTACATTCGTCGCCATGTTAGCAACCATGTGACCGCTGTGACAGGAATTACGGATATATAGGATATATATATATATATTTATATCACGAGTGACATGTAATATATAATGCTATATCTTGCTTGACAACGGTATATGGATCTGTACCGATACGTCGCCTTTACAGTAATTAAAGAAGTTGTTAATAGATAAATTGTGTCTACCTTATCATCCGTCAACTGCTGAGTAGTGCCTATCAAACAAGTCAAATTGACAAGAAGGGAGTTAGTAGAAACGTCCTATGGCCGACTCCATCATAGTGTCACCTGTAACATTCTTCATGTCCGTTCTAATGATGGTAACTAGGCTAGCGCAACCTACCAGGTTTACAAGCAAATATGAATCCCACCAGTCCTGCGTTGGTGTCTTCATTGGGATGAACATGTGAGTGGTAGATCCATGAGAGACATTCAGGGCTGTCTTGGGTGGGGCTAGCGTCGGGGGTGATTGTCCATGTGTAGATATGGCTGTGACCAGGTTTGACCAAATCCTCAGCAGCATTTGTGTTGTGGTAGCCATCAGCATAGAGCGCACCTGTGTGGTTGAATTAAGGAACAGTCTGTTTTGAAATAACGACTAGACATAAATATAAAGCATCAGTATAATAAGTAAGAATAAGATTTATGGATGAACAACTTCTTTATTACAATTAAGAGTGACATTTCGATGTAGGTTTTAACACCGTTATCAAGCAACAATGCTTATACAGGAGAGTATCAACAAACCCACGGCCTCCCAATAGGATCCCAACTATCACCCTTGATCACTGAGATATTTATGATCAAACTTGAAGAAAAAGCCGTTGAAACATCCCCATTAACCCCCCTCTCCTGATTCCGCAAAGTATCCTACATTCAAACAATGACCCCAGAACCCTACTGGAGAACCTGAATTCCCCAAACCCACGAATGCAGTTCACCATGGAGGAAGAAACTAATCGTCAGCTCCCCTTCCTTGATGTACTTGTACCGAAAAATAGTAACGACAAACTCCAGACCACTGTGTACCGGAAACCAACCCACACAGATCTATATCTTCACTATGCCTCCAACTATCCACCTCAAGTCAAGAAAGGAACTATTTCAACCCAAGCGAGACAAGCTCACAACATCTGTTCAAACAAGCAGCATCTTATCACTGAACTAAGTCACCTCAAACAAGTATTTACACAGTATAACTACTACCCTGAGCAGCTAGGACAGCAGACCATACAGAACATCACCACAATATCCCTGTCAACAGTCTGTACCCTTTGTGATCAGCCTCCCCAACTTTGGCACAGTTACCCACAAAATCCAGAGACTCTTAAAGAAACAAGCTAACATTGATGTAGTTTTCAAAGGAAGTTTCATTCAGAACACAATTAAATCCACAGGGAAACCACCATCCAGCCACAAACTAGAACCATCAGGAGCAGTGTACCACATTCCCTGCAATTGTGGATAAGTTTACATCGGCGAAACATCTAGGCCTTCAAAACCCGAATTAAATAACATTAAAGCTCAGTCTCCAAAGATGAATCTAAATCAGCTCTTTCAGACTATATCCGTGACAACCCAAGCCACAGCATTCAGTGGGATAAAGTCAAAGCCCTCACCACCAACCTCAAAGACTTCAAAATCAGAAAACTACAAGAAGACATCAACTTCAAAAGACTCCAACCGTGGATCAACCGTGACCAAGGTTATTGCATACCCCCGGATTACAATCAACTCATCAAAGACCCCAATCAGTCATAATCCTGTTGTTTATATTACTGTCTTCGCTCTTTTATTTATGTCACTGACTTTGGCGGTAATGTCTCAACTAACCCTTTTGTGTACATAATAGGTTTTTTCCAATCCAGTATAACTACACCTGATATCTACTCTACTGTATAAACATTACCTCCTACCTGTATATATACTTGTCAACTATACTCTGTATATCACTTGCTTGATAACGGCGTTAGAACCTACACCGAAACGTCGCTCTTAATTGTAATAAAGAAGTAACTGTTGTTCATTCATAAATTTTATCCCACTTAGTACTCCAAATTCTAAATGCCTATCAAAGAATTTATCACTATAATAGTTTAATTTGATTTCTATATTTGCAAAGCACCATTGTACACACTGTAGCTGGATCTGACCTGTTTCTGTCACACGCATTGGATATTATTATTATGAGCAGGACTAGATTATATCAAACATCTTATTGCTAAGACGCCAAACACACGTCAGCCATTTCCAGGTTGCTCAGAAAGGGATTATCGATGAAGCTTGCATATTGATAAACAAATTTGGATAATTTGTACGATATTGATGGGATCATCCATACACATTGTTAACTTCACTGATTAGGCGGTTTCATCAGAATGTCCAAAATATGAACATGGACGCACACAATGATGCAAGACAGAAGGAAGACAGACTCTGTTCCAAGTTTCGACCATTGACTGTCCTGCCCAATAGCTTAGAGGAACTCACATCGCTATTTTCTCCATGTGATTATTGATTTGAGATGAACGTTTGCGTATTTTATCACAAATAATACCCTTTAAACACCCAACCACCTACCTTCACTTGTTTTGTTGTATTTCACACCGTGGGCGTGCATAGAATATGTATAGTTCTTGGCAAAGTTTTTAAAATGAATAATAAGCACATCTCCTTCTTCACCCTTAAGTATTGGCCCTACAAACCCCAGCCATATTGGCTTTGGTTTCTCCACAGTGTAAGTGGCGTCTGTGAATTCTTTATAGATGGCTTTCTTATACACATGTCCAAGTCGATCCGGACCCTTTTCCAGGTAAAAATCTGCATCACTTGATATGTTGTAGCTGTAAACAAAGGGTAATATGCAATACATAATTCCAAACTGATTTCATTCTCAAATCTTTTTAAAAATCAATCAAAACCATACCACACCTGAACACAGTATCTTATTGAGTCTTAGACCTACAAACCAGAGGTTGTAAGGGTGAAGCAACCTATGCTGTCAGTATATAAATCATCCTTATTTCATAAAAAAAAACCGAATCTACAAAAGCATCAGTTTGTTCATAACGTCATTTACGATCAATCAATAGTGAAGAATGTATTTCAAGCTAATTTAGCACTCGGTCGACCAATTGCATGCATCCCACACGTTCGCCTGTATTTGATGGAATCTTGAATCAAATCTTGAATCGACATCACATGCCATTGGTTTATGATGTCTCATTCAAGTACTAACCTACAAAAGCATAAACATCAACGTGTGCAAGCCATTTCATTGTGCCATCACCAAAATGTCCTGCAATCAACCACCGATCCAGTTTTATTACCCCTAACACGAAGTGCTTCGACTGTTGCAAGTTGATGTTACGGTGTGGCAGTTAGGGTCGTCGCTTTGGAACAGTACACTGGAGACATACTCTAACCCATCACCCAAGAGGGCTCATGAGGTTAAAGTGTTTTGCTCATCATGAAATCCTTCTTCCTAGACTGCACATATTACTCTCTTCAAACCATTGACCCGTGAAGATCCGGGGTAGAATAGGTATTCAGCAACCCATGCTTACCGTAAAAGGCGATAATGCTTGTCGTAAAAGGCGACTAACGGGATTGGGTGGTCAGGTTCGCTGACTTTGTAGATGCATGTCATCGATCCCAATTGCGTTGATCGATGCTCATAATATCAATCACGGGTTTGTCTGGTCCAGACTCGATTATTTACAGACCGCCGTCATATAGCTGGAATATTGCTGAGTGCGGCGTAAAACAACAAACCAGCCCACCAACTCTTCAAACCATCAATCTACCTCTTTGGGGTGACCAGATCCTTTCCGCTGGGGGCAAAGTCCCAGAGGACTTCAACAGCGGCGATATAGTAGTGTCTTTCAATGGCTTGACTCCAAGTCACGTATGCGATAAGGATCAACAACGTGGTGCACATGACTGAAACAGAAAGCAAGAATATATTCAGGTTTCAAATGTCTGTTACTGATTCCGTGGTTATGCTCTCTCGTGAAGCATGAGGTCGTACAAAACAGTAAATAATCCGAGGCAGGCACAAGAAAGAAACCTAATACATAATTGGATTGATATTTGTGACTGATTGCATGTTCTCGTGGATCGTACATATGCACATCCCGAGGGGGAAGGGTGCGTGGTTTTGTGCACGCAGACGTGTTGTCTGATAATGTGTCGCAGTACCCTGACAGCGTGGATCGTGGCTCACGATGCCAACTCTGAATTAGATATGTTGTATGATAGCGTATCTTGGTACCCTGAATATAGAGCCTGACAGCGTTGATCGTTGCTCACGATGCCAACTCTTATTTAGATATGTTGTATGATAGCGTATTTGGTACCCTGATTATAAGGCCTGACAGCGTGGATCGTTGACCACGATGCCGACTCTGAATTAGATATCTTGCATGATAGCGTATTTTGGTACCCTGATTATAGGGCCTGACAGCGTGGATCGTGGCTCACGATGCCAACTCTGAATTAGATATGATGTATGATAGCGTATCTTGGTACCCTGAATATAGAGCCTGACAGCGTGGATCGTTGACCACGATGCCGACTCTATTTTATTGTTATTAAAAGAAGTGCATGTTACATAAAATGCACTTCCGCCCAGGGTATCAGAGAGCCCATGACATATAGTACAATTTACCAGTACATAATAGGTTTTTTTTTACAGAAAATAACATACTTCTCACTCTGGTAATACAAACATATTGCACATATCAAGTATGCTGAAACTATTAAAGTTTATACATCATATTGCAGTGCAGGAAAGTACATGGTCTCAAACATTAAAGTCTTAAGTACAAAACTAAAATTAAAATAAAAGCTGCTCCTCATTTTCGATAAGTTTATGATACAGCATCCAAGCACCATAGAATTTCGGCTGATTACCTGTCTTGAAAGCAATATCTTTTTCAATGTTGTATTATGAAAAAGCTTCTTTTTTATAAACATGAACATAAGACTTTGTATTTTGGAATTTGCATGTATAAATATAGAATTTTGCAAAAAAGTAAAAGTAAATCAAACACTTTATCTGTTTTTTTTAATGTTTTCTGTATCTCCAAAAAGTATCAATTCTGCACAAAATGTCATATTATAAACCTGAACGCTGACACTGAACCTGACACTTCATCCCCAAATCGTTTTATTACATCAAATTCCCCAAACAAGTGTTTGTTTCCTTTTCATTGTGACAGAAGGAGAACAGATCCTTTTTGAAAATAATTAAGTATATTCAGAAACGTATTAGTGGTGAGAATTCTTTGGTTAATTTTGGATTGAAACCATCGCAGTTTGACAGCCTGTGTTGTACTGAATATTTTATTACAAATATTGTTCTAATTTAAGCTTTCAAATTGTAATTCCAACTTATCCTGCCCTGTAGTTTTTACTTCTGTAGAAACCAAGGAAACATAAATATGCTTTGAACCTGACTTGGAACTACAAATAGTTTCAACCACACAGCGCTTGTCCTCCACAGAATCTGTAGGAACTTTAAGGTATTGTTTAATGCTGCTGACAATACCATACAACTCGAAATAGGATGAACAAATACCATGCATTTCATTAAATTCTTCATATAATAACAACTCCTTATTTGCCTTGACCAAGTCTATAATTTGGGAGTCACCCTTCTCCAACCAGTATTTCAAGAAAAATGATTTCCTATTAATTTTAATATAAGGGTTGGTAAAAAGAAATTAATATTGGTTCAGTAAAAAAACTACTGAAGGATTCTGGCTTGACTTTCTCATCAAGCACTGTAAACAACTTTTCCAAAACTTATCAAAGATAATTTTCTCTCAAGGAACTTAACAGGAAACTCACCAAGTTTACACAAATAAGGTTATGTAGATTTAGATCATCTTCCCGAGACAAGAGAGTTAAATGACAACAAAAATCCAGTTTCCACCCTTGCCGAACTAGGCTTGTATTATGGACTCAGAATCTGAAATCTCAGTCATCTGAACCAGATAGTGTTAGGGTTAGTCCAAAAGTTCACAGAGAGATGGAGGTCAGTCTATCACTCCCAGTCAGAGGGAACAGACCTTCCCCTCGCTCAAGATCTCCTGTTGAACAACCGTGAGCATCTCAAGTTCAATCATTCAGTGGAACTGCAGAGGACTTTGCAATAATTTTAATGAATTACAATGACTAATCGGGATTTTAAAATCATCAGCATTTTGTATTCAAGAAACTTACTTGAAACAAACAGATCAAATCAACCTAAGATTTCGTATAACATAAATCGTATAATTCAATTACTTTTCTCCTCCATGTCCTAAAGCCACTAGAGGTTCTTCCATCTTGGTGAGGCAGGGTGTTATCAACAGCCCCGTTTCTCTGAATACTCAATTTCAAACTGTGGTTGTCCGTGTGACCATGCACATTGTTTTCACTTTGTGCTCTTTGTACCTTCTTCCATCATCTACTCTTCATCAACGTGATTTGTAGGGACTCTTATGACCAACTCCCAAAGCCATGTATTATCATGGGGGATTTAAATGGATATAATCCACTTTGGGGTAGTGTTCACACAAGCAGTAAGGGTAAGATCATTGAAGAGTTCATTTCAAACAATTATTTGTGAATATACAATGAAGACCCAAACACGTAGTTACATCCTGGTACAGGAACAAACTCCTCTCTAGGTTTGTCATCAACAGACCCAGATCTACTAAATGAATTCGAATGGTCAGTCCATGATGACCTTTGTGGAACTGACCATTTCCCCGCCATATTAAAACCTGTTTCCCCATCTGAAATTCCGCCTTCAACAACTTCACTTGGAACTTCACTTAGGCCAACAGGCCCTTATTTGAAATACTTGCCTCAAATAAGTTAACACGTGATCTGTTTATTGACATTACTGATCTTATACAGTTTTTCGCCGATGAACTTAATAACATAGCTGATGAATGTATTCCAAAGTCCTCGGTAAATCCACACATTCCCAAACCATGGTTCAATGATAACGCCAGAAAGGCAGGGAAAATGCTGAACAATATTTCCGTAGCCATCCTCTTGTTCATAATTTAAATAAATTTAAGATTCTAAATGCTTAAGCACAGCATACTTACAAACAAAATAAACGCCAATCGTGGCAAAACTGTTTCAAAAATAAATTCACGTACGCCTATGTCTAAGGTATGGAACATGATCCAACAGATAAAAGGTAAGGGTTCTAAATATAGAATCCGCCATCTTAAAAATAGAGAAGAATTATTGACTGATACTTCAGACATTGCAAATAAACTTGGTGAAACTTTGGCACAACATTCTTACTCGGCTAACTAATGTCCCTAAATTCCAAAAATACCAGAAGAAGCATGATAGGAAATCTCCTAATTTTAAATCAGATAATGGGGAAGATTATAATGAAGTATTTTCAATTCATGAGCTTCATACTGCCCTTGGGCAAGCTCATGATACTGCTACAGGTGCTGATAACATACACTATCAACTCTTCAAACACTTACCAGATACATGTTTGGAAATCCTTCTATCAATATTAGATGAAATCTGGACATCTGGAAACTTTCCTTCATCATGGCATGATGCTATAATTGTTCCCATTCCAAAACATGGACGAGATCATACTAATCCCTTTAATTACAGACCCATTTCATTGACTAGTTGCGTTTGCAAAACCATGGAAAGCATGGTTAACAATAAATAAGTATGGTACCTGGAATCTAACAATTCAATAATACATATTCAGTGTGGATTATGGAAGAATCGAAGTACTGTTGACCATTTAGTCCGGTTGGAATCATTTGTTAAAAAATGCTCTTATTAACATCCATCATGCAGTGTCTGTCTTTTTCGATTTAGAAAAAGCATACGACACTACATGGAAACATGGTATTTTAAAAAAGTTTTAAATGATTCCATTGATGGATCATTATTCGTAGATGATTTTAATATTTCATGTCGTGGTAAGAATATGAATACTGTTGAAGGCAGCTGGAATTATGTCTAAATAAAATCCATAAATGGTCGTTAGAAAATGGTTTTCAATTTTCAAAATCTAAAACGAAATGTATCCACTTTTGTAGAAAATACACACCTCATAGAGACCCAGAGCTTTCCTTAACTAAACTAAAGAAATCAGACACTTACCGACTAATGTATCAGCAAGAATATAATTAAATAAGAAACATTTACAACACTTCCAAGTCTATATTTACAGATGGATCCAAAGACGGTGACGCTGTTGCTAGCGCCACTGTCATTGAATCCACAACCATATCATCTAGTGAACCAAATGACTGTTCAGTTTTTATAGCAGAATCGCAGGCAATATTAACAGTTCTCAAATATATTAATACTCAGTCAAAACATAAGCAGTTCATCATATTTTCTGATTCCCTTTCCTTTCTTCAGGCCATTAAGAATATTTTATCTGAACATCCACTGTTACGCGAAATTATAGAATTACATAACGATCTTCCGACTGGCCAGTACGACATCGTCTTTTGTTGGTTACCCAGCCATGTTGGAATCATTGGTGACACAATGGCCGCTGCTGCTGCAAACATACATCTGTAATTAGATGTTACATCAACGATGTTATGAAAAACTATTCACCATACCTAATCCCCCTTTCTTAACAGGTTGACAAACGTTAATCCTGTTTACTTTGTCTCGTTTATCACTCCAACGAAATTTAAAAAAACCATATCACAACCAACCCGAATATGTTGATTTGCACTAAAATAAAGTTAGCACCAAATTTGTATTTTAAAACAAACAAATAAAAATTGATCGAGAAAATGGGTCACTCATCATCACACACCCAGGCTCCAGCTCAATTCTAGGTTCCCCGTCCTCTTTGAGTTTCCATGCGCTCTTGGCATACTTTCTGTAACAACGATCCCCTTTTCTTGAACCTTTGCATGTAGTTGTTGTTTACGCAGTTCAGCGGCTTTTCGTACCAGGCGGCCACGAAGTTTTTTCAAGTCGACAAGCAGGTCTGTACGGACACTGAGCCGGTGTTTCGCCAATTCCCTCCCCACGGAATAGGTCGTCTTCAAAATCTGATCTCTGTCCTCCATGCGCACGAATTTAATGATGATAAGATCTTCTGTCGGTTTGAGTGAGTGAGTGAGTTGGGTTTAACGCCGCTTTTAACAATATTCCAGTTATATCGCGGCGTGTCAGCTTAATGTGGGAGGAAAGCCCAAAGTTATGCAGATCTTAGACGTTTACCACTTCGGTGGAAAGCCACGAGCACGGGTATGGTGCTGACAAACCTAGCAAAATAAGCGGGGCGAACCGGGATTCGAACCCGCAATCATAGGTTTCTGGCGTGCCCAAGGGACGCAACTCTGCACAGCGAATCGCGGCGCCTTAGACGACTGGGCCATCCGTGCCCCCCTGTCGGTTTGAGTCGAGGGAGTCTGTGAATATTCACAAATAACATGTTGTCCACCGCTTGTGCATCCAGGTGTAATTTATCCTTGGAAATGTTTCTACAGGTCTTGTCAATATCTGTGATTGTATTAGGCACTCCGTAGTTTAGTAAGGATTTACGGGAATACATCTCTGAGATCAGTAGCTTTTCTCGGAGCTTGTCGATATCGTCACGGAGGCGTTGTTCTGATGACGCCATTTTGTCACCAAGGTCTTAGAATGTGTTAATTAGGAATTAGATGTGTTGTATGATAGCGTATGATAGCGTATCTTTTGCAACCTCATTATACCGCCTGATAGCTTGGATCAATGCCCACGATGCCAACACTGAATTAGATGTGTTGTAGGTGCAGTTGTCCTGCGTTTTACCATAAATATTATTCCATGTTGTAGCTGAAGCTTACAGGTTCCGTGGGGTGGCGAAGCGGTTAAAGCGTTCGCTCGTCACGCCGAAGGCCCGGGTTCGATTCCCACATGGGTGTGAAGCCCATTTCTGGTGTCTCCCGTCGTGATATTGATGGAATATTGCGAAATCGGCATAAAACCATACTCACTCACTCGTGAACTCTTTGAAACGAGAGTGAGTGAGTGAGTATGGTTTTACGCCGCTTTTAGCAATATTCCAGCAATATCGCGGCGGGGGACACCAGAAATGGGCTTCACACATTGTACCCATGTCGGGAATCGAACCCGGGTCTTCGGCGTGACGAGCGATCGCTTTAACCACAAGGCTACCCGACCGCCTCAGATATTAACAGAAAGAAGAACTAATACTGCTTCTTTGTTTAAACCCATCTCGGTTTGTCCTAATCAGTTTCAAGAGGTCAACATATGTGAAGAGACATCATCTTGTCACTCTGAGTGTATGCACTAACGCACTAAGATTATATGACTGTGTCAATCATTTTGACAGACACACATGACGGTTTATCCGTGACAGCAGTAAATCATCTTACGCTGTACTGATGAGAGTACATACAGTCAGGAGACAAACATTATGTGCGTTATATGCCGGTTTCATAACGTATTCCATGCCCGGAAATTCCTTTTTTTCCACTTTGGAAAATACAAAAGTACTCAATACTAGTATATCTTTCACAGTCTTCTGGCATTAATATATACTAATTGATCCAAACTTCAACATTTTGTCAGTGTTTGAAGGGGTGAGGCAATAACAGGCATTTGAGTGAGTTATAGAACGTCTAACTTTGTCATTCCCTATTTTGACCTTAGCAGTTTGTTCATGTGAACACGTGACTTGCCCTCGCGCGCGTTATGACGGGTGCTACCTGTAGGGCAGACTACGCTCACCTTTTCACGAACACCTAAAATCATCAATATGTGATCAGTTAAAAATATCAGTTAGTTGCTATAATCTATACACGCTATGTAGCATTTACCATGTCATCAGCAAATTATAAGGTGGTCAATGGTTTTAGAAGATTACAAATATTTACACTTTTGCAGCCACATTGATAATTTCAACTACCATACCACTTGTTCCAACACTGCAGTCAAAGAAATCCCTTTAACCATAACCTGTATTGCTTTCACACTATAATATACTTTACCTGATATTCCATTTTGTAATAAAACATAATACAACAGAAAGTGCTGTACTGAATCAAAGTCTTTGGGAAAATGAAAAACAGTTACATACACACAACCTTTCTTCTTTGATAAATAATTAAATAAGATAAATAAATAATAAAACAGATTCGTGTGTATTGTTTTATGTTTAATGTTTAAATAATACGTTCAACTGTACTTACGACAAAAACAATGACAAGGCATGTATGAAAATATCGCATGTTGATTGTCGTCATTTGAATAAAATCACCAACATGTGATAGTGATTCATAAACACATGTAGAGAATACTTAGGGTTATGGAAATAGATTTGTCGCTTACTTAGCTCTTCAAAATTGATGTAAGCTCATTGTTAGACTAGTTGTGTCAAGTTACAATTGTCTTGTTTTCAGTTTAGGCACAGCTGACGAATGGATACATATTTTATACTGGCCTCTATACAAGCGGCGCCGTCATGCCTCGGGTAACAAATCTTATACAGATCTCGGACGAGCCCTAAGTTTCTATAATTCCCAAGTTGAAACGAGAAGATTAACCAGACATCGGTTCGCACAGAACTAAATTGTGAAATCAGCAAACAACACAAGATCCATGAATAATTGACAAAATTTACTGAAACACACATGATTCGGTTAACATTTATCTAAGTTAACCACATACGTAAAAAGGTTTATCTTTCTTAAACATCATACTTTCTATGTTTCTATGTAGCAATGATCATGTCATGAAGTACATCAACGTTACGATCTAGTGAAGCCAATTTGAAAAATAAACTTTAAGGCGTTCATTCAGTGGTCTAAGAACAATACTCTGCGGCAATGCTAATGGTTTGGTGATTAATAAATGCGCCAAAGGAAATAGAACATACAGAAAGCTCCCATTCTTTGTGAGGTTGCTTGACAACATTTAGATCTTAAAAATATCCCCCAAATAGGTAAATTCGCAATATCGTTATACATGTATAATCAGGATCCATTTTCAAATTTATATATACATATATTGCATATATGGATAATAAAACGTGATTTTGATTTCTATCTAAACCCATGCCCCGTTCTTGTGTCTGAACTGATATAACCCAGTTATTGACCCAGTCGTCTGAGGCGCCGCAATTCTCTTTGCGTCCCTTGGGTAAGCGAGAAAAGTTAGATTGTGGGTTCGAATCCCGGTTCTCCCTAAATATGTTTCAAGGTTTGTCAGAACCAAGGCCGTGCTCGTGGGTTTCACCAAAGTGGTAAACGACTGATACCCGCATCCTCCAACATTAAGCTAACACGGCGTGAAATAACTGAAATACTGTTCAAAGCTGTTCAGCTCACTCACCCATAAACCTATTAACATGTAAACACGGTTTCGGTCTGGCTCCTGTTTGAAAATAGTGACAAATGTATCTAATTGTAAAACAAATGCAATGCAGTTCAACATATAAACCCATAGTTAAGCATAGTGCGAACATACTGATAAATAAAGCTCCCCCAGTCCTTACCTCATGTGCTTGATCAGTAACAAATGTTCCCCTTGTTCTCTGAATTGTTGAATCAACAATTAAAATTATATAGTCTGACCCGAAATGTACAGCGCCTCTTCATACAGCCTATATTCTCACCTCTGACAATGTATGAATTATTTTATTTCGGAAATGTAGGCCATCCCGCCCATAAGTCACAAACAATTCGCCATTAATATTTTGATGAAATATCCGCCTTTGTACATGCAATGCATAACTATCAATATATTAATTACAAACAAATATTTTTCAAATATATCATAGTTTTTTTTTTAATCCTTTGTTTTCTCACATTGTAATCACCTAATTTCCATGCATGTTGGTTATTACAGATAACGTTAATTGGCTTTTCACAACGCTAAAGTACTGACTCCTCAAACTGTCATAAACAGAACATATCAACAGTGTTCTTCATCTTCGATAACTTTCTTTTAACATTTTTTTACAATATAAACATAATCTTTCTTCGTACAAAATACTTTCCTATCGTCCTGACCCAATACGTAAATTATAATTAAACGAAGGAATCTGCTAAAAAAAATTAAAATAACTGACTCGCAATATTTACTAGCTACTGTTCTGGTTGTGACACAAATTTAAACTGTTAAAATCTTCATTTTACGTTCCCATGTAGATTACAAGCCATTTTTTGACGCGATACACCCTTCAATCGTTGAGCAAAAGAAATTAAACATGATGATCCAAAGGAAACTAAACTCTTGTTCAAACAAAATATTGCTGACCAATCAGACCCATGTTTCCTTCCGTCATTATCAAATGAAAACAACATATTATAACAAATTATGGGGTACCTATGGCATGGCATGATCATAGAGGTTATCATGCGAGTGTGTTTGGGGATGGTAAATATCCTGTATTAGGAATAAACATTGTATTTAACTAGCCTTGGCGGATCTTCAAGGGTCCTAGAGGGGCACGGGTGGCCCAGTCTTCTAAGGCGCCGCGATTCGCTGTGCATCACTTCGGGGTTTCCTCCCACATTAAGCTGACACGCCGCGATATAACTGGAATAATGTTAAAAGCGGCGTTAAACCCAACTCACTCACTCACTCACTCACTCCAGGGTCCTAGATGCATAATGAGTCTTGCTGATTTACTCCATACAAAAATATTTTAATATCTTATAGTCACATAGAAATTAAACCTACATCCAACAGAGAAGACCAGACGCAGAAATGGGCTCAGTACAGAATTCATTTGAAGCATAATTCTAAGAGTCTGCTATGAACGAGTGAGTGAGTGAGTGAATGATGTTTGACTCTAAAATCATCTACATGTACATTAATTCATGCCATACAACGCCAACCTGTAAAATATCGAATAACTGAAAGCATGGCCAGCAATGCACGTCGGCCAAGTCGTTAAGTATAACGTTTCCCTTCACAGTCTGGCGACAAGCATGACATACGGCACCTCCACTCTGAACCCGGATGTCCACGGGAAAATCACACATGTGTCAGTGGAGTGTATGGGCTTTTACGAGTTTAATGGATGAAAGAACAATCCGAGCGGCTGGAAGACCATCCCTTACGTCCCACTTTAACCACGTTTAACCGTTGACAAAGCTACAAAGATTATCCTCTCTATGTTTATTCAGATTGTGCAGGACAATAACCGGTACACGTGTATATATAGTGAATGTGTCTATCGTGTATATTATGCAGTGTGCGAAATCAGAGCCTGACAGGTAGCCCTTGGCTACGTTCTTTTCTCTCTGACTAGTGAACGTAAAAGGTAGCTCGAATGGCGAGCTTAATTTCTTTTCCTCTAGTGAGCTATTATTAGTATTGTTATTCAACTGTCAAATGCGAACGTTCGAAACGGGGAAGGGATTTCCTGTCCAAATGGTTGATAGACTTGAAATGGCTTACGTATTATGTCAAGGTGGTGAGGTGAAATTGGGTTTTACGTCGCGTCCAATATTATTGCACTTATATAGCGACGTGCATGCACGTGTGTGTGTGTGGCTGCTTGTACTAGTCCGGACTGATGCCGAATTATAGTGCTAGCTCACTGAGATACCATGCCGCAGTTTAACATGAATACCCCACTCAGACACAGTATACTGACTCCGAGCCGAC